AACAAATCTTTTTTCTTCTGTTTACACTCATCAATCCAGCACATGTACCAGCAATAAGTTGTTAATCTTAGGCTATATTTTGACGTCATTTTGTTTATGTATTTGACGTCATCAACACGCCGTTTTAATTAAAATTCAACGTAATTTGAAAGTTATTCATTGGAAATGCCGCAATTTATTATTTTTCGTGCTATTTAATATTGATTATAAAAAAATAAAGAAAAGCATACACACTTCATTATCAGAGTGATTATTTTGGATTCATTAAACACAAGTTTCATTATGATATTTCAATGTAATTTACGACTTTTCATGTACAGATAAAACAATAAATTTACCTGGGTAAACATTTCTAAAAACATATACACATTTACTTTTATGAACAAGTAGTCGTTGTAGTGTTTTTTTTTTTTTTTTTTTTTTTTTTTGTAAAAAAGTACTAAATACAATTCATCGTGAAGAAAAATGTCATTATATATTTGTGAAATAAGCATGATGAGGAAAAACGTCATTATTGTCATGATTTATCTTTATCTGCAAAACACAATTATTAAAATTCGTCACGTCCGCATCTTTGTAAGGTCAAAATTTCAAAATTAAAAGTTAAAATTAATGATTATGATATAATTTTGCATTTGTGAAAGTTTGGAATACATACTCGAATGCGGACACATTAAAAATGCGTTGATATACACTAAATTTGCAAAGAATTGTAGATTTCCGGAATACTTTCCCAGTTTCGACTTTTACTGTTGCCAATGGCGCGCGCTTTCTGCCAAACTAATACCAAATTTCTAAAGTTAGTGCCCTGGACATATGTTATAGACCATAAATTAAAAAATTACTCCACTTTATTTTTTCATATTTTTACAGGGCCGATTATGATAAATAACGACTTTTATTCCTTGTTGCAGTGTTCATATTTGATCTTGAATTTCTTGAAGAGTGAATTCAAACTGCCAGATGTTTTTCGAGATAGCAACATTTTGCAAATATTTTCTGGTATGATGAGTCCGGATAGAGATTATACATGTACAGTTGTGTATTATTCGCTGTGCTTCCAGCAGTACTATCATTTGTAACCTGCATCATCTTTCCCTTGATCATTCAGTTCCTGCTCATGGTGTTCGCTAGATAAAAGTTCCACTTCTGTAATCCCCCTCTCTTGGAAAATTCTTTATTTCCTATAATATGATTCAAAATGCACCATAGCCAATTTATTTAAGATGAAGGTGGTTATATATTCCGAAACTAATCATTAAATGTACTTTTTATAATGATTGGAAAACGATCAATTTTAAGTACCCCAATGATCGCTTAGTGCATCATGAAGAAAAAATAGTACCTTCAGGTATTAAAGACCTATGTTTGTATATATGCCTTTTGCATTTAGCTTTTTCCGGAAACGCCGCACATCGGCGCTCGCTATGGCCCGAAAATAGTCTCATCGCGAATTTCAAATTTTCTTACACCTTTTTACGATAACTTTTTACCTGGAAATATTTTGATAAAACATAAAGAACAAAAGAAGTGAAGAATTCCAAAATCTTTCAAATGATATCTCGAAAAAAGGACTGGCCCCTAAAATATAAGGAATCTAGTGGGGTCAGACGTTTTTTCCTGATATCTTTAAAAGTATTGAAATTTTGTAATACATCAAAGAAGCAAAGTTATTCAAAATGTCAAGCTTAAGGTCAAGATCTAGTAAATAACTGAGAAACTGTAGGCAATATGGCTACATATCCTTTGTCGAATATGAAAAAAACTCCCTAATTCATGACTGATATTTGACCAAGCTGAAGTTATAAAGCATCAATACAGGAATTTATTTCTCAAGTTTGATAAAACTGTAGGCACCTTTCAATCACTAGATCTTGACCATAATCTTTTATGGTCATCAAAAAACGTCCTTTGACGTCACTTCCAGCCAAACCGGAAGTAATCGGAAAATGCATATTTTTGCCGTTCTTGACAAGTTTTTGGGGAACATATGTCACTGGGAGCATAAAACTTAAAAAAATCCGTCCGTCGACGTCACTTCCGGTCAAATCGGAAGTAGCAAAAATTGCTTAATTTTGCAATAATCAACATATATTTGGGGGATTTAAACCATTTTTTGATGTTTTTACTCATTTTTTCAAAAATAAAGTTACTTCCGGTCAAACAGGACGGAAGACTTTTTCGTTGCTTTGCAACGAGCTTTGCTCTAGTTATTCTATTTATTGCTGTTGTAAAGTTTCAAACCAGAACGAATGTTGCCATCATGGGTCAAAAATATCATAGATTATGCAGTTATCCTTGTATATGTAAGAAGGATTTGTAATAATTATACATCTAAGACGTTCATGTAATTAAAATGTGTTGGGACTATTGCAACTTTTCAAAAGGCGTCGTATTCATTCATGTTTGAAAACAATGAAATTCTTGAAGATTTAATATTATTCGTCTTTGAAAAACTAACCCCACAAAGCAGTTATGTCGCACAATCCTTTAAACCTATGCAAACTTTATTCTGCACTGAGACTAAGGATAGATACATTTTTACTATATGTGACTTTCCCCCAACAAGTTTGAACATTTATTGTTGTCCTATCCTACCCCCTCGCGTCATGATGTTAAGATATTTTCATCCTCGTATGAAGTCATAGGTTTTTGCAAAAACTGTTATTTACAGCATTTAAATTTATACCCAAAAGAACAATATATTTTGAAATACGAGGGCTCTTCAATAAATAATGTCCTGAACTGTATGAAATACAATACAGATATCATATGACATTAAACTTGACTTTCTCTCATTATTTAATCTTTACTGAATTTATAAATTTTTATGTGACCACATTTTATTTAATAGTTTCATTGTGAGAAGTTATGAAACAAGGGCTCTTTGAGACACTGCATTATAAATGAATGGTAAAGAATCAGTAAACTAGAGTGAAAATAAAAGCTACATTAAAGCTGCTGTAAAACTTGTTAAAAATCCGAAAGAAATGTTCACTGAAATATGTGATATTTACAGCAACCGATGCCTGTTTTATAGACAAATGAGTAGATGGATTTCGATGTTAAAAAGATTATAAAATGGGCATCAAAGATGGGTATCCTCCTTGACAACAAAAATTATAACAACTTGTGTACTTTTTGCCCAATTTCAACAAATAATATTTGATGATGTATGATTGACTTTTAGACACATTCTAAATTTGATAGACATCATATCGGGAGTAGTTTACACTGTTTTTAAGAAACGTTTGACAGTAAAATAGCTTGGTACTCAAAGGTCACCCTATATTTTGAATAATGAGTGAAAACGACAGCTTTTACGAAAGTCTTAACAATTATTTTAAAATATCAGTAACTTCAGTTATCCACGTTTGTTTTATATTCAAACAGATATTGGAACATGAACTATTGCTTAAAACCATCAAAACAAAACTTACCATAAGATGTACTTAATATAAACGGCGAAGGTCTGATAGGAGCAAAGGTATGCAAGAGCACGAAGACAAATTTATATGCAATTTTCTTAAATACATGTATTAGTGGTATTATTGTTCAAATTCGTATTCGGGCAGACGGTTTAATATCTGGAGGAGTCTAGAAAGCAATTTTTCTGCAAAATAATCGAAAGGTTTATTAGTGGAAGGACCCAGAATCAGGAATCCACTACACTGAATTTCTTCACGACACCGTCAAAACCCGCATACCCTGAAGAGTAAAGGGGTTTTCGGGATAAACAGAAAGTTCATGTTTTTTCACATTAACAATATTTGCCAGATCTTTGACCTTTTGTCTTGTTTCTATTTCCAAACTTGAAATAAACACCTTTCAGAAGGAAAAAACATGTCCAGGAAATCCTCGGATCTGCCATTTTCCAGTATACCAAGGGTCATACCCAAAAATGAGTTCTAATAATAATCAGAAATGGGATTAAAAATGTTAGGGACATGTGTTTGAATTAAAAGAGATTAATAAGTAAAATCATGAAGACAAAATCATTGAAAAGCGTCGTTTGCTTCTTTCTGAGCACCGAGGACATTATTTATTGAACAGCCCTCGTAATGCTTTTCAATAGGTGTAAAAAAGATGTATATTTTCTGTGTTTATAGAGTTACATAATTAGCATCTTAACCTGAACATTTAATGGCCGGAGCCAAAAGACGTGGGTATCGTGAAACGGGATGTTTATTCAGGTGACACTTATACTGCTAGGTGATAATTGATTTATGATTAATCTTATAATATCTTTATGTTATTGAAATAATTATCTTTGACTGTATTACGATAATTTACAAACACAGTGTCACTGAGAAATTGTAATTGCAGATTATAAGACGAAACACATTTACCACTTATTAAATTTATTTTTTTTAATCTGTCAAAGTTTTACGAATTATTAACATTCAGAAACAGCCTCATCGTCAATATGACGACTATGGTTGAACCAATACGTACAGACCTTCGTTCAATGCACATGCATGTTTGGAAAAGTCACAACGCTATATGTGCCACGCAACGCTGGTAAAATGTCGTTTTCATTATAACAAATGCATAGTATGATGTCCGTTTGATAAAAAAAAATAAATGAACATGATCTGTCGATGTACATTTTTTGCTTTACTCAGCTAAATAAAAATCCATCTTTTTACTTTACATTGAAAACTCATTTTACATACAGTTTGTTTCGGGTGTAGATATCAACCTAGGTATTACCGATCAAGTCATGCATTTTCCCTATCTTGTTCCAGTGTGTTGCGTGACTTACAGTGTTGCGCTCTCTGTTGTTTTTTTTTTTTTAAATTCTCCCTTACATGGATAGTTTGAAAAGTTTACATTGCAATGGTGAAAGTTAAAATTCAGTAAATAAAAAGTACTTACAAATGAAACAAAGAAAGCACGAAAAGAACACAAAATAACAACAACAAAAAATAAAGATATTTGAAGTTTACTTATCAAAATTTAATATCTTTTATTCCATAAGATTGAATTTTATATTTCAGAATATTGTTGTGAATTCAACAGTCAAGGAGCTTTAGTGCAACGCAACTATAAGGCAGATTGTAGAAACCATTCTCAACCTTGCACGAACTCATACCCATCAACGGAAATATTTAGATGTAAGACAGTGTTTATAGCTATCATTCAGTAACTTCATTATAAAGAATGATATACATTGATTATGTACAAGTAAATGTACAGGGTGTCCCAAAACATATGTTACACTTTTAAACCGATATAAAAATTCAATGCCTCAAGTAACATTAATGAAATTTAGAATATATACTAAAATTATTATTAATATTTTGTCAAGCAGACATTTTTTTTACAGTTCCCTTATGTTACAGCATAACCCAAATTACATCCCTTGAATTAAGATTGTTTGAAAACGAATTCTAAAGTTTTTTTTAACAAGTTTTAAACGTAACATTCTAACTGTTTAGAGGTTTTCCACATTAAAATTGAGTTTTACCAAACACTAGAATTTAAGATTTCTTTTAAAACATTGCTAAAATGAAAGTGATCTTCATTGGAAAACAATGCATCTGTTAAATTTTCAGAGTGGGGTATTATCAAAATCCAGTGGTACACTCTAAACAACCTGTAATTTCTGTCTCTTTCAAATGCTGCATTAAAATTATCTTATGAGAAACAGTTTTAAATTGAATTCGAGTATTGTATGAACGCTGGATTTACCAAAGGTGCTATCTTGTTCATGCAGGACACGTCTAAGGGATTTTTTAAAATAAAGTTTCAGTAGAGTACTACAAGTAACTATAATAATGGTATTAATGTTCTCTTTGGTACCGGCTCTCTTTGGTCTCAGAATTAAGTCTCGTGTACTTTATGGTGCCTTTAACTTCAAACTTACTCACAAATCTGTAAATTAGCATTCTGTTGGGCACTTTCATTACAGGATGTTGTTTTCTCATGGTTCTAATGACTAAAGTAGAAGATTTATACCCATATTAGAGTTTGAAAATTTCTATCAGCTGTTCTTATGAAGGTTTCATATGAAAAATATGATGACGTCATTTTGACATCATTATTACTTGAATTTTTAACAGAATTTCATGAAAGTTTGTCAGATGAAATGTATGCTGATACACTAGATGTTGACGAAATATCTTTGTGAATGCTTGTGGTTTGATCAAGTTACACAGCTTATTGTGCCACGTACGTGTTACATATGGTTGCACATAACACATGTATCACATATATGAAATGTACGTATCACATACATGTATAACAAACATATGTTTCACGTATGTGGTACAACGTATGTATAACATATGTGTGACTACATACGTTTCACATAACGTACGTTAAACGTATGTTTAGAATACACGTATGTGTTACATACGCGAAACGTACGGTTACATATGTTATGTGCAACCCTACGTTACACGTACGTTAATAAACGTACGGTTTACATGTGTATTGTCAACCACATGTTACACGTACCTTAATTAACACATGGTTTACATGTGTGTAGTCAATCACATGTTACACGTACGTTAATGAACTCATGGTTTACATGTGTATAATCAACCACATGTTACACGTACGTTAATGAACTCATGGTTTACATGTTTTTTTTATGAAGCACAAATTTCATGTATAGTTTATGTGTATTATAAACCACACATTAAACATACTAATGTACATAAATAAATTATGGTTAACTTGTATTGTAAAGCTCTCATTACATAAATGTTGATGAATATAGTATGTGTATTATCAGGCACATGTTACATATACATTTAAAAAGGTGTTTTACATGTGTGTGAAAAGCTATGTTTGAGAATGATAAGGTTGTATATTTTGTAAATTTATACTATTACATACATGTATGATAAATGTAGGTTGAGTATAAATCTAATCCTTTTTACTTTATTTCAAATTTAATTTATTAATCAAATTATCATTTAGTTTTTGCTATAAAGAGAAGAAAAAACAATGCGTTAAACATTTATTGTTGCTAGGGACTACATAATTTCGCTTGAAATACAGGAACTTTTTATATAAAAGTATGGCTGACTTCCACAACTAACTATTTTTCCTTAATAGTTTAAGTGATTTTAAAGAACTAATCAAGATATTATTTAACATAACAATCATTTTATGAATAGGCACTTAGGGCTTAACCTGTTATTCAGGAAAAAGAGCAATCATAGTGATATGACCATCTATAAAAGCCTTCTTATAACATGTATAACGGGTCCTTAGATCAGAAGTTGCATGTATTTTAATAATTATAGTATTTTAATAATTTCAATAATTTACATCGTTATAGAAATTGTTCATACGTAGAGCATGCTCTTTTGACATAAACATTATTATGATATTTGGTTAAACCCAGTGACAACTGAAGCATATATGTGTAAGCGTTGTTGACTAGTCGTGTGTGTTTTGCGTTCTTAATGTTTCAATTTATTTCACATTGTTTACCTTACGTCCACTTTCATGTCTGGCATAATGTAATCTGTTCGCATTGGTTTAAAATTTACTCTAAAAACAGTTAACAAAGTTTACATAAAAAGTTATCCAATCTCCTCATGTGTATCGGATATCGGTAGAGGCACATCAAATTGAACTCGGTCATCGGTAGATTTAATCAATCTGAATTCAAGAGCAAAAATATATTTTAAAAAAAGAAAGAAATTCACGATAATTTCACAACAAATCTCAAAAGGGAGTAAATGATTCACCTAGATAAATATCAAATATACAATGGGTACCGTCCGTATAAAACTTTTAAAATATACCTTCCGGAATTTTCCAGCCTCCATTTATGTATTATATGTACGTTACCAGTGACGTCACTGGAAAGAGAAGTCTGACGTCTGCAAGTTCTAGGGCCTAGCTAACGGTGAGGAATGCATAAAATCAACAATTATTTAATTACTTTATGACTGTGTGTTGCATGTACACTAAGGCGTGTTTTTTTTTCTTCAGTGTTTTACATAATGGAGACTTGGGTTACCAAAAACAGAAAATATTGACCATGTTGAGGCAGTGAGTTGTCTTGGTTAGCACTCAGGTGTATCCATCAACACGGGCACGTTATATCAAAATTCAGGTGAAGTTTAAAAAAACTGTAATAACAATTAAGTATTTATTTAAAATGTTTTTTAGCCTAACAGATAAGATGCAAAAAAAAGAAACAACAACAATTCGATGTAAAGTTCCACTCACGGAATTTATTTCTTTTTACAGTATTTTAAACATCACATAAGATGGTAAAGGAAATTATTATCTTTGAGTGCAATAATGGTGTAACAGTTTTGTTTTTACATATCTGCCCTTTTTAATCCTTATGAATATAAATTGTGTTTGAGATTGAGAATTTTTATGTGATTTTAGATATGCATTCCAGGATGGTGACTGAAGCTCATCTTTGTAAACACCCAAATGCCTAGAATTGACTCCAAAACAGATTCTTAAAGTTTAACCAGTATAATCTTGAATATGGTAATACTTTTAAAAAGGAATAAAATTTTCTGATCAAATTGATTTGCTTTTAGACTTGCAAATAGTTACATGTAACTTGAAGGTTTTCATGTAAAATTTGAAATGAAATCGAGTTTGACAAATTTCCCACTACTAAGAGTTATCTCCCCTTGTCGGCGTTACTCTCATTTTTCCCACTTTGTCCTTTGTAAGTTACCTGTTATTATTTTCAATCTTCAAACGTTATTGGACAATTTAGATCTGTGCCTGTATTGCCGAAGTTTGGGTCAACATGAAAATCTTAATGAACACATTCATTGCAGATTTTATCTTTAAGATACTGACCAATAAATTTGGTAAGGTTAACATAGGGAAAACAGGGCCTTACGCTGGATTGACCCTGCAAAGGGGAATAACTTTTGTAAAATTTAAAGTGAAAGTCGTCCATTTTTTTAACATGTATATTTTTAACCTAAAGGACAAAAAGTATACACATGGAACACACACAAAAACAGATGGGTCCACAGATGCCAAGATAAGGATTAATGCAGAAGGTAATTTCAATTTTTCATTTCGTAACTCTTCTGGTTTTATCCAGATCGGACCTTACATATAAGTTAAGTCAGCTTCAGTATGTAATAGAAGGATATGGAGATAACAAACAGTATTCAATCTCAAAGTCAATAAAACAATACAAAATAAGAGCAGAGCAAACACGGACCCCCGAAACATCAGAGGTGGGATCAGGTGCCATAATAAAACACCTATTTACTTACTATTCGGAAAAAAGCTTGTTTATCATCTCCCTCGATAGCAAACTATTTCCCTCTGCTGCATCTTGGGGAATAGTTGCTGTCTTGGGGGACAATTAACTAGCTATTGTCCTCATAGCCAGTAAATAGGTGTACATGTATACCGTTTTTAGCTCTTCTGAGCCAAAGGCTCAAAGAGCTAATGCTATGACCATTTTTGCGTGTGCATAAACTTTTTAGAATGTGAGCCATAACTCAAGATCCCCTTGGACAATCATTGTCAAATTTGTCACAGGGCATCCTTGGCGCAAGGGCTACCATTTACACTAAAACTAGGGTTTGGACCCGTATACAAGGGAGATAATCAGGAAAATAAAACCAAAAGAAGTCTATATTGGCCTAGAATTGTTAAACTTTGTCAGTTGAGGCATCTTGGGTTTTTGAGAATGTCGACCAAAAAGTAGGTCACCATGATCTACTTATGGTATTTTATAGCTCTATTGAAATATCTTCAGTCCTAACTAGCTAAGAATCAACAAAATTTCTTGGTTGATGTATTTCGGGTCTTATAAATATAGAGGCTTCAAATACTAGTGATAGATTGTACAATTTATTAGAAGAGTGATTCAAGGCCCTTGGGTTTCTTGTTGTCCATCGTCATACACTATGCTCTGTCTGGTAAAATTTTAGCATTTACAGCCTTCTCCCCCCCCACCACCCAAACTAAGGGGGGGGGGGGTTAACCCATCAAAATTATTCAAAATTGTATTTTTTTTAATTGGACATCAAGCACACTATTAGCAAGATTTTAATAAACATTGAGTCCTACTGAAATTATGAAATTCATATAGCCCCAGGGTAGGTGGATCAGATATAAAGGCGCAGCTTTATTAATTAATCATAAACTGAAAATGCATTGATTCATTGAAAATCTATATAAATCTATATAATAAGTTGAAAGCAAAAAGACTAAGTTCATGACAATGAGGAATAAGTTTTATACCCCTGTAATAAATGATTCTGGGGTACATCTATATAGCTTTTGCCCTGTCTGTCTGTCTGCAAAATCTTTTCACATTGGCCATATTATTTTAGTGGGTGAAAGTATGGCTTTCATATTTCATAGACGTGGGTATTCTTTGTGACAATACTTTTGTATTGGTGCACCAAATTAACCTTTTGAATTGAACTTTAAGAAAGTTTCATAATTTGAATCTTGGCCTTAACTTTTGAACAGTTGGTGCATAGGCTTTCATTCTTCACTTGTATATTTATTGTGACAAGACCTTTCAATGGGTATAAATTAAGATATTTGACCTTGAACTTCTAGTTTAACCCACTGTTAAAAAACTTTAACTTTGATCATAACTTTTGAGCTGATAGTAGTAGGGCTTTTATATTTCACAGAATTTAATTATTCTTTGTGACAAGTCCTTCCTTGGATGTCAACAATTTTGACCTTTGACTTTGACTTTGGAGTTTGACTTGCATTTGGGAAACTTGAACCATAAGTTGGCATATATTGGGTATCAGCATGTACAAACGCATCTTTTTTTCCGAGTTCACCCACAAATCAATGCTATGTAATGAATTTTAGATAAGAGAATTACAAGGTAGATATTTGAGGATATAGTGAAAAAAATAGTTTAAAAGATCATGGTTATATGAATACTAAACAATTAATCATTGTTATTTAGTATTTATATTTAAGTTCTACAGAGAATCAACCAGGATTAATATATGTGGATAATAACAATGTTCAGGGGAAAAAAAATGGGTTTAACCTTATTCCATGCATTTAATATTTTCTTTTTCTTTACAGATAAAAGAGAACTGGAGAAAAATGAATTAATGTTAACATACTCAACATTAAATTTGGCTTAAATCTAAATATGTCTTTTGTTGTGATTGCTTCAAGAGCAAATAGGATCAGGAAATTTAAAGTGAAGGATAACCAGAAAGTGAATCATTCAACAGATGAAAAGAAAATAAGCCTTTGAGGGAAATTATGTCATATGCATGAATTGAATATTTAAATTGCACGTAATTTTTGTTTCACCAACGTTCACAATATGTGAAAAAAAATTCAAAACATGTGTTTAATCATGGTTTGACACATTTTTGTATGGTATTTATACATTTACAATTTGAGCAGTGCAAATAATAAACCCGTTAAACATGTTATGAAAACATATGTTACACACACGTTGCACGTACGTTATTCATATGTGAAACGCATGAGTAACGTACGTGTGCAATATATGTGTAACGTATGGTATGCAATACGTATGTTTAACATACGTGACACGCATGATATTCACACATGTGGTACTTTTTTCATGGAAAACGTACGTGAAGTCACGTACGTGTCACATATGTTTCGAATACGTGAAATGTACGTTGCACAATTAGCTGTGTAACTATAGTGATAACTTTGACACTTTGAAAAACTTTGACAAAACTTTGACACTTTGAAAAACTTTGGCGAAAACTTTGACACTTTGAAAAACTTTGGCGAAAAATTTGACACTTTGAAAAACTTTGGCGTAAACTTTGATACTTCGAAAAACCTTATCTAAAACTTTGACACTTTTAAAAACTTTATTGAAAACTTTGATACTTCGAAAAACCTTGTTGAAAACTTTGACACTTTGAAAAACTTTATCTAAAACTTGGATACTTTCACACTTTGAAAACATTTATCAAAAACTTTGACACTTTGAAAAAGTTGAAAACTTTATCGAAAACTTTGACACTTTGAAAAACTTTATTGAAAACTTGGATGCTTTGAAAAACTTTATTGAAAACTTTGACACTTTGAAAAACTTTATCGAAAACTTTGACAAAAAACTTTGGCAAAAATTTTGACACTTTAAAAAACTTTGTCGAAAACTTTGACACTTTGAAAAACTTTGGCGAAAAATTTGACACTTTGAAAAACTTTGGTGAAAACTTTGATACTTCGAAAAACCTTATCGAAAACTTTGACACTTTGAAAAACTTTATTGAAAACTTTGATACTTCGAAAAACCTTATTGAAAATTTTGACACTTTAAAAAACTTTGTCGAAAACTTTGACACTTTGAAAAACTTTGACGAAAACTTTGACACTTTGATTTACTATCATATAGTTAACTATAGTATTTTTTATTTAGGGAAAGTCTTCAACGAACCCGACCTTAAATGTGATCTAATAACCATGTAATTAACGCATTATGCTACATAACGCGATATTTGAATGAAAATTAATATATATATATAAGATACATTGTAAATAATAAACAATCATTTAATAACATAAATGTATATGAATATAAACACTAATACTATCCACCATTACAGTGTAAAGTATACGTAAGAGTTTATTATATAAACATGTTACAAGTAACTCATACATCTTTACACAAGTCACGAAACATATTCTGATTTGGCAAAAAAATGCATGACAGATTTTTTCCCTTTTGTAGATCAGGAATGTTACGCAATGAATTCACAAGTTGCTGTTAAAGTTGGTGTTGGTGTTGATAAATCAAAGTAATTTCATGTGAAGTATTTTTTATCATTTCGTAAATAGCTTAATTTCTTAACAATCAACTTGCTTCTACATGTATATTACACGAGTAACTCTTTTGAAGGTCAGGTACGTGTTTTATCATTGAATTCAAATATTTAGAAAGGAGATATCACCAATTACCAGGTCTGTCTTCCTTTGAGCACAAGCATCCTCGGATGATAACCTACTCAGTAATGATATATGATAATATGCCTATCCTGTCTAACAGTTCATTACTATTTTATTAGTAGTATAATTATAAGAAAGAGCAAAAAAAAATGTTAAGATTGAATAGATTATATCTGTCCAGTATCTTCGTGTTCTCCCTTATGGATTGCTCCATTTACATACTTTCAAAATATGTTGAAAGATAACTTTAATTTTTCATTAGACTTTTTTGGTAATGATAACATATGTTGCATAAGAATCACAATCCTTGAAAAATGGAGATAAAAACGTTAAATTAAGTCCTGTATTTTGCATAAAATGGCATAGGGATAGTTATTTTCGATAGAAAAGTGGAAGATGATTTGCAAAACATGCAGATTTCCATTAAAAAAAATAATTACTAGGATTATGCTTTATTATTATGCTTTAGATGACGGGCATTTCAATGTACCAAGCCTAACTTTTGAAAGTAGAGCGGCTACACTGCAAAGCATTGACGACATTGTCATAAACTTATGCTACTGGAAAAATTTAAAGCAAAGTAGATGTAAAGCAATAAACAGTTTTTTTTTTCGTGAATGAAAAAGACAAAAAAAAAAAAAAAAAAGAAACAAGAATTTTCAAGCAATAGTAATGACATAACTACATTATTCATTTTGAGTTAGAAGGATACGGACATCATGTATTTTTTTTTAAATCATGTTCCGTTGGATTAGGGTAGGACGAAATTCCGATATCATGCATTTCTCTCATCATAATAAATCTTTTTCTTCAAAATGGTGCATCTACATCAGTCACAATGATTTCAAAATAAATAATTAAAAGAAGAAATGAGATAAGGTTGTGATACCTGTAAGTTTGTGATAAATGAATATGAGGTCAGTATTACTATTTTAATTGTAAAAGAATAAAGTATCTATTAAAAAGGGATGCAGTGTAAAGGCGAGTCAGGTAAAAGAGCTTATGCCAATGACCTCTTGTTATTTTATTGTAAAGAATATGGATTGTGATAATTAACGTATTCTTCAATTGCTTGTTGTTACATGAAAAATTTATTCAATAGGTAATGGATACACTTTATTCTCTTGAATACATCATGATAATACTTCATTTGTAGGAACAAAGGATCTGGTATTGGATTTGGTTTTGTTATCCCGCTTGGTATTCTAATATTTTGTAGTATTTTATTGATATCTGGATGGATATACATACGAAAACGTTCGAATGATAATCAGCACGACTCAAGGCATAATACAGATGAACATATGGGTAATAGTTCTATCATTTTATACCACTCTCTCTGTGATAGATAAAAACTATCGAACAATGTGTGTTTGTGAAAAAATATGAAACCGGCGACCAAAAGCTATTTTTAGTATATAAGTCACAGTCAAGGTTTTGACCTTGGTGTCATTTAAAAGAACGTGAAAAGTGGGGTATGCAACCAAATATGGAATCTCTTTCTCCTATGCTTCAAAAGGTATGACAAAGGTTCGAAAAAGCTATTTTTAGTATAAAAATATAGGTCATGGTCATAGTTACAAGATCATGGACCTTTATGTCAATTGAAAGAGCTTAATAACTGGAGTTAGCAGCTCGAATATAAAGTCCCTATCTCTAATGGTTCAAAAGTTGTATTGAAGTTGACAAAAGACAGACAAACAGATAGAGAAAGAGACAGAACTTCAATTATATACTGATAAATTATATTTCTGTGACCCGCCTCCCCGTTTCTTCAAGCTTGTTTATGATTTTTGGTACATAACGGCTTTTACGCTGTTTGGTTTGCAATAAACTTGCACACTTTTGTATGAAATCCAACGCCTTGGCTTTACACTTTGATTAAGTTTTCTATGCTTTTTATCATAAAATAAAAAAAAATATTAATAAAAAGTGACAATAATAATAATGAATAAGAGTAGATCTATGTCCATTTTGTTGCTGCCCTAGTCCAAAGACAATATGCGATTTCTCCTCTTATTCGTGTTTCAAAAGTAAAAAGAAAATGTTCCTCGAAAATGAAATCAAAGGCGAAGATCGTTGTATTCGCTACTTCAAAGGATTTTCACCCATTAGTTTGCTGTAAATCACAATTTTTTTCACTAAAAGTGGGCTTTAATAATTACACTTACGACTAATCATTATGTTGTTTAGTATAAGCATTTATAGTATGAAGAAATACCGGTATCATAATTAATGATGCTTCTTCACACTGCATTTACTATACATATATATCTTTTCTCTTTATTTTAGATGAAACAACCATTAAGCTTAATCCTGAAGATGACAAATTTTACAAAATCAACTTGTGGTAGACGTTCTTGGAACTGTAACGTAATGTCAAGAAACGCAAATTGAGAACTTTCAATGACACATTATTACTGAAAACACATACGTATACATGTCTCATTATAAGTTTTTTAATAAACGCTTTCGTTTTTATCCTATAACCGAAGATAAAATACTATTTAATTGAATGAACAGGATTAAAAACACTTGAAAAATAAACCTACAAAATCACGTACAAGAAAAAAAAAACCATTTATGTATGTCCTTCTAAAGGTTCTAAACAGGACCTTGCAAATGACAAACGATTTGAAGGCAGTTTCTTTATTGCATGGCTCATGGTAATATCAGGGTCTAGAATTCAAAAATCATTATTGCTTCCTCATCATTATTCTGTGGATAAAAAAAAATCTGTTCCAAAATTTCGTATAAACTGGATTCTTGAAAAAGACGAATCTATCGTAAATGATAAAATATTATTTTTGAATAAATATATATGTTTAATTGTATTACTGGTATTAATTATATCGTTCAATCAATTAGATCATCTAATATATTTTTAGTATAGGATTTTTATAGTTCTTCATCTGTTTCTATTGTCATAATATTTGTTCTTGTACCTTATCCATAACCAAAGAAATAATAGGACTATGAAAGTCAGTTCTGGTTATTCACTCTTTTATGTTAACTAAAATGTGTGAACATCCGCTTGCCTGTGTGACTGATCGGTAGTATTATTTTATTATTAAGGTCTTCTGTTTCCAACGGAAGACCTTCTACTGATTTTGATGATTAATTTTATTCTTATTATTCTTTTTCCCCCTTTTTCTCACTCATTTCTGAACGGATTTCGCTCATATTTTTCAGAATTGATAGACGTTGCTAAAGTGTATCAGAATTTTGTCTTCCATTCCAAAAATTAACTTCCGCGTTTGAGTTATTTCCCTTCAAACAATAATTTATAGGCTTTCATTTCTAGACAAAGGCTCTGAGACGGCCAAAGCTGGAGCAGAAATTTTACTGATTTTAGATACATGTAATAGAAGGATAGAAGTTGTGCACATGGGTTTTGTTTTTCGATTTCTCTATTTAAAATGGTGCTAAATAGGGGTAAAAAATTAGAAGGCCTTAAAGAACGAAAATTTACACATATTTTGCTTTTTATCTCTTAAACTAAATATATTTTGTTAAAACATATAGCAGAATTTGTGCAGAATTACAAGATCTTTCACACTTTTGATTGATTGATTGTATATTGTTTAACGTCCCTCTCGAGAATGTTTCACTCATATGGAGAAGCCCTTTCATACGATATCTCATAAAAGGGCTGGCCCCTACATTAAGGGATCTAGAGGGGCAAAAAGTTTTTTTCCCAGATTCTCAAAAAGAATTGAGAATTTGTTTTACATCAGAGAAGCAAAGTTGTTCAAAATCTCTATAAGGATAATCAAAATACGTCATGTGACGTCACTTCCGGACAAACCGAAATGCATATTTTTGCCGTTCTTGACACGTTTTAAGAAGTATTTGTCACTGGAAGTATTTTCCGTCAGTCGATGTCTCTTCCGGTCGAACAGGAAGTAGCAAAAAATGGCTTACTTTTGCAATTTTCAACAAACAGATGGAAGATTTAAATAATTAGAGACGTCATTTCTCTTTTTTTTTTTTTAAAATAAAAGGTACTTCCGGTCAAACAGGACGGAAGACCTACTCGTTGCTTTGCAACCAGCTTTGCTCTAGTTCTTTTACATTATATTTAAATTTCATTTTTTTTAAATCATCTTATTCAAAGATGGCACCGGTCTTGGTTTAATATGGCTATAACATGTGTAGGAGTTGCCAAACTCACCCACCCTCTCGAGTTTTCCCATTGTCCTAATGCATGCGGATCGATTGTACATCACTTTGTGACCCTATATCATTACAGATTCAATACAGAACCACTAACCAAACAACATTTATGAATATATCTGACTATTAGTCTGATGATTGAAGCATTTTGTAAGGAGAGAATATTTCTTGAAATTTTGAATTAGTTTGAGGTCGGAAAACGACCTTATAGAGAATGAACATTAACACTATGCATACAGCGTTTCCTTTTGTTAACATAGTTAGTACCTTAAAGAAATTAAAGAAATGTCACGATCGTGACAATTAAGCAGCTTGCTGTACATAGTATCTGTGTTAAACTATTACAGTGGGTTTTTTTTTAAATGATAAAAGTGTTGTGCTTTCTTCTGAAATAATGTCATATGATGTATATATGTAACATAGAAGATCGGTGTTTGCTGCATTTATGTTATAATTTGTGCAACTCTTGGTCATTTAATATCAAAATTATATGCATGTATGTACTACATAAATGCCCCGATTTCGGTATCATTTTTACATCCCAATAACTATTTTTTTTTCTTTCCAAAATTTTCCACTTCAAATTCAGCGCCATACTTAATCCGAATATTAGGAATTTCGGACACAATCCAAATTCAAGTAATAAGTACAATAAAAATCTTAATCATGTTCAAAAAGCAATATTTTCCAAATTATTTCATTAAACACCCTAAAAAATTCATTCTTAATCGTATCATATATATATTTTTTATTTATACTTTTTTTTTTTAAAATCTTTATTTATTTGACACAATCTGTTTCATAATTCATGATACACAATTAAATAGATTACAGATTGGTTTTTTTATAGAGAGAGAGAGAAAAAAAAGCAAGCGAAAGAGAGAGAGCGAGCTGGCATGTTAATTCTTTTACATAAATAAGACTCATTTCATTTAATAGTCTTTTATGAAAACAATAGATTCCACTGATTCCAGTTGGTGTCAAAAATTTCTCTTTTATCATTTTTATATGCTAGATATTTTTTAGTTTCATAAAAAAGTTAAATATGTGAAGTAGCAAAGCTGACATCTAATTTTCTTTTCTAAACATCTCATTGTAAATATATAGATATATATAGATATATATTGTTTTTTACTAGAAATCCCAAATAAAACTTTGCTTTGTAAATGAAAATTGCAACCCTATCCTTTGCTCACAATATCTTTCAAAACTGTTGAGGAAGGTCTTACAATGTCACACTCCCATTAAATATGTATTATTGTTTCTTCTTCCATATTGCAGAAAGAACATATTTATTGATACCTTATTCAACTGGAAGTACCAGTTTTTCAAATTTATTTATCTTTTGAAAATAAATATTCATCACCTGTTCGTTATTTTTGTTTTACTTTGTGTGTTTCTAAAATAGTAAATAGTCACTGAAAAAGTGACAGTCACCACGAACACGACTGTCCATATTGCAGAATATTTTATTATTCCCCTCTTGGGGTAGCAATCGTACTACATACATGTAACTAGAAACGATATTTACAACAAATCCAGCTTATTACGTTATATTTAGAGTACGAGTTCCCTACTGTATCAGAGATACAGGGCGGGGCTTGAGGTGAGAGCGACAGCTCGAGCCGGGCCCCGCCCTGTATCTCTGATACAGTAGGAAACGAGTATTCTAAATGACTTGTGACATGACCTTTCTAATGACCTCACCAATTTACATTCATATTTGGGTACATATCTCTCGACCAATCAGATGATTTTAGCAGAAAGTTGATTTAGTATCCCATTTTAAGCATTTGCAACTGAAATGCCGAGTGAGATGGACGTGCAGGTAATTATTTACTATTATTTTAAAAATAATTAGTTGGGGTATGGATTACATAATTTGTTTTCCAAAAAATTAATTTAGATTTGATTGGGTAGGTCTTTTTTCGCTCTTGCTGACAGTTTTTTTTAAATTTAAGCTACAATTTAATGCAAAACATTTTTGTATATAAGAATCGTATTTTGAAACAAAAATGCTTCGGGGATTCTAAGAGAAATCTCCGACAATATCCTCCAGATCACATGTCATCATATACAAAATTGAAATAAACAGATGAATAAAGGAAAGGGGGGGGGGACTTTCATGTTTCAAATAAAATGCAGAGTAACCAAATGGGGATCCAGTACTCACAGGTGCAAAACTTCAAGGTGCACCCCCATCCCACCCAACTTGTAATTTTTTTGCCAATCGTATATACATACTCTTTTTAATTTATCAACAAGTAACGATTTCACGCACATATAGTGTCTTGGTTGATTATAAACTTACCCACCCCCAAATACGATTTTCAGTTGTTTTTGGGGGGTGGGGGTGGTTCAAAGTAATCCTTTTTTAACTTCCCAACTCCCTCCTTTCTAATTTTTTTTTTAATCCGACACTCAGAAGTTTATTTTGTAAAATTTCATTCTTAATAAATCACCTCAAATTTTGAGCAATTACTTACAGTGCTATCATGCGAATTGAACGATTGTTGTGTCTGAATATGGATACAGCTTTCCGTCATCGCTAAAAATAAACCGTACTGTATCTTCGATATTTTGCAGATACAGTACAGTTTCTGTTCATTTGCATAAGAAACGCCCACAAAAAGTGTTCTGTATCGCAGTTACAGTATGCTTGACTTCAAAGGAAAACTCGCCAGGTCATGTCACAAAGTACAGATATTAGTCCAGAATGATAATTTGATAAGCATAGGATCATACTTTAGTATAGTATTGTACTGAGACTTTGGATGATTTCTGTCTTCCATGATTTATTGAACATAATTGACTATTAATTGCAATACGTATTATTAATTTTATTCATTGAATAAATTGTGTAAACTTTAAAAAGGTTTATCATGTAACGTCCCCTTAAATTAATCTACAAGTCCAAACACAGGCTTATTCTCGCATATCATCAGAGTACTACATGAGTTATTCTCGTATAGGTATTTGACAATTATTTGTGGGTGAGATACAAGCAACTAAGGTCTGTTACACATACTATCAACCTTTTCTATCTGGAGATAATTTGATAAAGCATATGGTACAACGTTTTTCACGATATCTCAAAACGTATTGATAATTTCTAAAACATGAGCATCAAAGCAGCAATGTTATTCTAAATAACAAGAAACAGCTAGTGAGATGATCAAAATATATCGAATGACTTTACTTCCAGTCAAATAATCCAAAATTACTTATTTCCACAGATTTTAGCAATGCATTGAATCATACATATCACTGAGGATGTACGACAGTATTTTCGTTCGAGTCTCAAACTTTTAAGAACACCAGGTTTAATCAGATGTAGAACCTTTGTGAGTTATTTTATTATCATTAAATTAATTAGAACTTTTTTAAAGATAAAGAGTCCTAATATGTCTTAAATTACAAACAAATGATATGGTTTTATGCAAAAATACGTATTTACATGGCATATATCTCAGAAAGCTATTTTTAATTCCCCGAAATATTTTAAATTATTGTACTTTTTGTTAGGGTTTTAATGCTTTACAGTTTTCATTTATTAAGCCTTTATTCTAAAGTTAGTAAAGTGCTCCAAATAATTCCGATCTAGGGATTGAAAGTTCTTGACCAGTGGGAGCTATGTGG